ATAAGTTAGTCTGCAATACATTTTGTCTAAGAGAATGCTGCAATATTAACCTTTAGCAATCATGGCTGAAAAAAGTTTACTCTGAAAAGCTTATGAACATATTTTAGATCCCGTTTTGGGTTACGGTACTTTTACTAAAAAAACACTATTATGTACTAAAAGTACTTTTGAAACGTTTGATAAAAATCATCCCATGAAATCAGGAGTAGAGTTTTTTGTGTTAAAAATACTTATAACAAAAACTCAAATTTAATGCTTTTAGAATAGATTTTGTGTTTTAGAAAATAAAACATTAAATTTAATCATTTAAATTTAAAAATTTTAAATTGCAGACTATCCAATATAACAAGTACTTATTAAACTATATATCCAAATAATATACATAAAAGCACTTAAGTAGTTAATAAATAAATTTATTAAAAATTTTATTGGTGAAGTATTTTCCAATAAATTAGGGCAACCCCAAATAGGCCCTCAACAAGATTTGCCAAACATGAAACTAGAATGCACAAGGGGCTTTGCATTTGGTTTGTTGGTACATTTTTGTTACCGCATGTTAGTACCATAATACTTCAGGCAGTTGAAAACGACAAATGGCTGACCAGAGAGCAACTTCTGGTTTGGAGATTTCAATAATTATTAGTACCAATTAAATTATACATACATAATAATGTAAACAACATTAAAATGGTAGTCACAACTACTAAAATTGGAAATCCTATAATGGATATTGTTCACCCAACAATCTTATCATATCTTTAGAATTTCTCCAAATTTCAATCTTCACCTTACCAAATTTAGATAGGGAGATTTTAGCCTCGAATTGTCTCCTACAATTATTCATTACAATTCTCGAGAACCTCGTTCTGTATTTATTTTTCTTGAGGTGACAATCATATCAAATCATGTAGTCCTATCAATTTTTTTCATATATATAAAAAGCAAATTTCATTACGAGATTGTTGAAAATCGCCCAACGCATCATTATTCTAATAGCAGGTTAAACATGTAGGAGAGATAACACACTTGTAATTCTTGTAGCACTATTAATTTGTCTGGTGCACAATCAGACATCCAAATTCCAAATTGTACATTTGTTAGGGACTTAGCGGTTGGTGACACCAAAAGGAAGCAATAAAATGAAGCTTTTCAAACACGTGATAGCTATACACAATCGGACATAAGTCGTTGAGTGGGCCTGTATAAAGTCATTCCTTGGGCCATCCTTAAGCTTTTATTTCTTTCGATTTTGGCCCTACGCTTTTTCAATAACCAAATGGTGAAAAAGGAAAAAGAAGTTCCCACTAATTGTTTGTCCATTCTTTGAGTTAATCTTATTATGATTGAATGCATGATGTATATGAAAATTTTAAAATTTAAATTTAAATTAAGATTATGTATCAAGTATTTAATGGAGAAAGTATATACCTTATTAGTGTATAGAAAATTAATCTTTTTTTTTATATTGGAAGTAATGCCATTATTCTTTCATAAGATTTTGAAAATACTTTAAAAAAAAAAATTCACATAAGATTTTGAAAATACTTTAAAAAAAAAAATTCAGTAGAGGAATGATGAGATTTAAGAAGCAGGGAGGAGCCAGGGGCTATACCTTTGAATATTGAACTATGAAATTTTTTGTGAAATTTTCAAGGTGATGTAAATGATTACTTGCATGTTGCTAAAAATGGTTAGATCAACTTAGATTACCTTTTTTTTTATATCTTTTTCATTATGCTTGTAAAGTTTAATTACTTTGCATCTAGCCATCAACTAGATTTTATTCAAGTAACTGCTTGATCACCTTATGTTCCCTCCATAATGTTGTACTTAGCAAAAGTTGAAGTGATGTAGAAGATAAAAATTGTTGGGAAAATGACATGTTTTTTCCTTCACATTTCGTAAAAATATTCTTTTCGTCCCTCACTTTTAAAATGAAGCAAATGCGTCCCTGACATTTAAAAATTAAAGCTATTACATCCCTGAACCTAATTTTCAATCTGAATCAAAGCATTCAATAACCTAGTAATAAATTTCGGAAATAGAATTGATAAATCATTCGGTCAATTTTATCATATTCACATGACATTTATTAAACCAAAAAAATAAAAATTATAACATAAAAGGTCATTCTTTGTCTTGGAATAGTAGAGTTTTTTTTTGGATAAATCTTTTCATACATCGTTAGTATATCCGCTTGCGAATCTAGATGCGTATCATAAATATAAAATTTGGTGTTTAAATTTAAATTGAAATGATATGGCGATACATAAAACCGTCAGTGTATACAATGATAATGTAGGAAAGATTAATCTTTCTTTTTTATTTTTTATTTTTGGGTTCATTAAATTTTACATGAATATCAAGTTGAGTTAACCAAGTGATCTACCAATTATACCCTCAAAATTTGTAATCAGGTTGATTGGTAGTTTGATTCAGATTGAAATTTGGGTTCAGGGATGTAAGAATTTCAATTTTTAAATGTTAAGGATGAAATTGCTTCTTTTTTTAAGTGAGGGGACGAAAAGAATATTTTTATAAAATGTGAAGGATGAAACCGATCTTTTTCCCAAAATTGTTTTAACAATAGCATTTAGAATTTCCATATTATAGCAGTATAAATGTAAATCTTCAATTAATTTAAAATTCACTAATTATATTTTTTTATATTATAGACAGTATACATTTAGTGCAGTATAAAGATTTAGTCTATATATAGGTGTTTCCATATTATAGCAGTATAAATGCAAATCTTCAATTAATCTAAATTCACTGAGTACATATATTTTTCTATTAAAGATAGTCTATATTTAGTGCAAGTCCATTTCTCTATCAAGGAAGGGTTAGATAGGATGACAAGGTAGGAAAAATTGTAAATACGAAAGCTTGTGTTCAAAGCTCTCACTTATAGAAAATAGAAATAAAAAGTGCATTTCTCTACTCACACACTTATATTCCCAGAATTATTGGCAATATATTTAATGTACCTCTTATGTTAATTTTTCCTTAAAAAAATGTCTGCTTACATCATTAAAAAATGGTGTGGAAAATACAAGGATTATCAGTTCATAATTATCATCACCATAAAGATTATTCTTTACTATTTCATGCTAGCTGTTCTGAAAACAACAAGAATGTCATCATCAGGAAGCTTGAAAAAAATCATAGCTTCACATTTACCAACCCTTAAACATTGTCTAGTACAACTAATTTATTGATTTAATGATTCATTAACTTTACACATGTAAGCATAATGGTATACAAGAATTTTTCTTCTGTTCATGAATCTTTATTTAAATCAGCATTTTATTTTTGATGGTAAAGTATTGTCATTATCCATAAACATGCAAAAAAGTGCCACCAACAAGAAGTTAAAGCAATTCCTAGTGTCACATTCACTACATGTCTTCTTGTGTTAAAGAAATGGATTAGCTTATACCTACTTTTATATACAATTCTTCATAACTTTATGTTAGTGTAATGCAAGTACTTTTTGTCTTTTTTATAAAATGAGTAGTCTTTTTTATTCTGCATCGCATCTCTGTCCCTTAGATGCTAAGCCTGTGATGGACCTGGTTGACCAGGACGTCAAAATATAGGGCATTAAAGGGTTGCTAAACGGCTTCAGCAGTGACGTAATTTTGTCACAGTGCACAAAATTTGTGAAAGAGGACACCTCAAGAAACTTTTTTTTTGTACTCAGTGTGAATTAGTTTAATATCTATGTGTGTCTGTATTGGAATTGGCAGTCTGGCCGTATTTGAATTGCTATTTTTGGAGTTTTTATAGAAAAATGTATTATAATAATTATTTGATTTATATCAGAGATAAAAAGATGATTAAGAAATATATTCATGAAAAATGTATAAATTTTTTTGGAGAAAAATGACTCTCCAAACAAGGCCTAACGGTTGTCACGGTCATGTAAGCCTATCATTCCCTGGAATTTAAGATTTAATGCACCAGCAACAAATGTGGTAAATGCTATTTGATAATTGACAGGTATGTTAACGATTTCTTGTATTCTTTACCAAAAGATCCAAAAATAAAATTCTCAATATCTTGTGGCCCTATGGTATTTAAATTTTTTCTTTTATTGAAGAAAATAAATAAGAAAAAGGGCCAGAGGAAAAAAGAAAAAGATAACAAGGGAATTGATTTTGGTTATACACTTTGTTAAGAGGAAATAAGCAAAATTATAAGTTAATTAATCATTTGTTAGTCCCAAATTTTGTTAAGTAGCTGATCTAAATTCTTGATTTTGTTTAAATTAAATTATTAGAATTAGTTAAGCAAAAAATTATTCCACAGGTTCGTAAAAATAACCACAGGTTTTTTGGATAGCAAATTATTTCAAATAATATTTCAATTGCATCATAAACACATTTTTCAATTCATCTTTTTATATTTCCAGTCACTTTTTTATCTCGCATACACCACATTACAAAAAGCGTTACAGTAATTATTTTAAAAATATTTCAAATAATACTCTGCCCAAACAAACCCACAATTTCCATAGAAAACATCAAGACACATTTGCTTCTCTTCATTATTAAAATAAAAGAATAACAACAAATTAATTGTTTGCGAGAAAATCAAAATACCAGAAGATAAAATAGAATAAATTCGCATCGTTCTATCCTAAATCACAGCTAAATCCACATCTTTTCATCTTAAATCCGTTAATTTCTATGGTATGAACAACTCAAGGCGCACGATAGGGTCGAGAGTGTCTAGAGCAATACAGCTGCCACGTGCAAATTTCCTATTGGCATTTTATCATGGACTATTCCGCAGTCCACCTTTGTTGAATTTGTTTCTATTTTATTTTTTCCTTCTTCTTTTTATCTTTTTTTTTTCCCACTATTTTCCTTCTGGATATTTTCTCAAAAGAATTTTATTACCTAATATAAAACCAAAAAAAAAAGATAAATAAAGAAATGGAAATAGTGAGTAGTAACTGATTGATAATACTCACATGCTGTCCCTTCTTCCTTTCATCGCCTGTCTTTCTTACACTCTCGCTCTCTCCCCTCTCTCTCTCTCTCAAAGTCCTGATACATTCCGCCAGTCTTCCACAGAACACACACACACACTCACACGCACACACACACAGTCTCTCTCTCTCTCTCTGTCTTAGTACATTTCCCATTCTTCATTCCATCAACTGCCTTTCACACAGGATACAAAGTCTCAGTCTTTCTGTGTGTGTCTCTCTCTCCTCTGAATTTTTCTACCATTATGGATGTTCAAGATCACAAAAAAACCCCTTCATCAGGTTTGTTACTCTCTTTTCCGACATGGTTTTTGTCAAAGTCCTTGCTTTTTTTGATACATCGGTTGCTCTGTTTCTTGCTAAAGTCTTGCCGTGTATTTCAAGAATTTCTTTCTTTCTTCTTTTTGGTTTTACTTTCTTCAGTTGGGTTTTCTTGATCCTGCTCTTTGAGTTTACTTGGTGAAGTATAATATATTTATTTACACGCAGAACACACACAAATTTGTGAAATTTTGCTGCCTTTACTTGTGTATTTTACTTTTCTTGCTGTCTGAGTGATGATTTTGTTCTTTTCTTGAAATGCTGAAACATGTTTTTCCTTGCTTGTTTTTACTAATAGTAGTTTTATGTTCTGGTTAGTGTGAAAAAAGGGTTTTATCATATGATAATATTAAAGTTTTCTACATTTCTTGATGATTAATATTGCAGCAGGAGGGCATGAGGGGCATGGGGTTCATGTGTGCCACAAGTGTGGTTGGCCTTTCCCAAATCCACATCCCAGTGCCAAACATAGGAGAGCCCACAAAAGGGTTTGTGGAAAAGTTGAAGGTTATAAATTAGTTGACTCAGAAACTGACCATATATCTGATGATGACCATCTTTCTGATGACGATATTGTGAAAACCCCAAGTAAGAAATATTTTGATATTTTCTTTACACAGAATTTAGTTTGATATTCTAGTAAATGTATTCTCTTTTTTTTTTTGGTATTATTGTTATTTTTGGCTTAGTGCTATTTTAGTGTTTTGAGAATAATACTTTTTAAGGTCCCAAGATGGAGAAAGGAAGTGTGAAGGAGGTTGGGAGTGGTGCAGGTATTGGTCTGAAGTCAAGTAAATCAGAAGATGATGTGTTTTCAGATGCAGTCACGGAATTTTCGGATAGTGGGATTAGTCCAAGCATAGAAGAGCGCCTGGAGAGTGTTAGAGAAGTTGATAACACTGTGGGAGCAGAACTGGTGCATGAGCTAAATGATAGCCAAAAATCTGAGGATTGTCGAGCTGATGGTAAGCAGTTAATTAGACTGGTACCTTGTTTTCTCTTTTTTTGTTTCTCTTGTTTGAACTGTATCTGCTTTCTTGCATGAGTACCTGATGCATTTAATGACTGTTTCGATATAAACAGTTAGTAATTAAACTTGTGCTTCAAATCTACTAGAAAATAGTTGGATAGTCCAAGATAATTGAAGATTAATTTTCCCTAAAAAATGTTCATGATAAAAACTCAACAAAGAGATAATACAACAGCTTACTTTTGGAGGTGATCTTATACGGTCTTTATTAACAAACTAATTAGCCACTTAAGCCTTTTTTTTCCTTTTGGGACTACACATGACAAAATGAGGAGTGAATCAGTCGCTTAGTATCTAAAATTTTCCCTCCATATAATTAGTTCACCTGATTTAAGACTAAATTTTTACTATAGGAATGTTCGTGATTCAACAATGAAACACCATAGAAACTTATTTTGGGAGATTGTCCTAGAAGATAAAAAATGAGCAACCAATCAGAAAGTCGTACTCACATATCAAAATCCATTCAGTCTAATTAATTCACCAGCTATGTATATTTCATCCATTTTCACATTATAGAAAGAACAATAATGCATGGCATTATCCATCATAAATTGCTCATATAACATCAAGATATTCATGGTGTGGACCTCAAATGACTCGTCATGTCTACTGGCTACATTTAAACATATCTTATCAACTTGACGAGCTTATTCATGGTACCATACCATTAAATAAAAAATTTTCCACTTACCTTTCATAGATATCAAGGAATATAGCTAATAACGCACTTTTGGCAGCAATCTTCCTTCAACCAATTAAAGATTTTCGGAGCTTAAAGTTCAGCTCCTAAAGCTCTTCTCCAAGTCTCACAAACCAACAGAGAAATTACTTTTAGGAAAGTTGTTAAATTTTGGCTTTGATGGTATCTTGGTAAGATTGGAAGATTATATTGCGCTTCTAAGATAATGTTTAAAAAAGCTATTTTAGTGAGAGCATTATGGTCAATTTGCCCCTGATGATATTGACATTAGGTCCCATCAACATCAGAAGGGAGCTCATTGTATTATTGGATATAACAAGGGTGCTAGTGAAATTATGAAAACCCTCAAGGGAGGTTTTTGAAATTAACCCTAAAATACTCATTCCACGCAAGGCGTGGCGTTCCCCTCCTAGTTCCTATAAATAGGGCACCAACACAATGCACTTATCACTCGACATCAATAATTTAGCACATTATTTACATTTTGAGTGAGATTGTGATAAAATGGCATCTTCAAAAAATTTGCTCTTTCTTATTGGTGTTCTCTTTGCACTTGTGCTCCTCATTTCCTTGATGCAACAGCTGCAGGTACCTAGTCCCTTTTTTTTTTTTTCCTTTCTTTTTTTTTTTGGCTGCACCTAAATATTTAAATGAATGGAGATTTGGAGACTCATTATTGGGATGTGAATTTTTATGGAAGGCTATTTGTATATTATCAAGCAAGTCATATTAATGTGCTAATATCCTTTTCATTGTTTAGCAAAAGTAAAATTGGGTTGCTTCTATCAATGGTTAGTGGCACATCTGATTTTTCATGCATCCTTATAGTATTGCTGTAAGGATACACGTTCCATAGTGTCGCACCAAAGGTTAAACTAACGTCGAAACCAAATTAAATGCTTCTAATTATAATTTAAAGCAAAATTTCATATCCAAGTCGCACCATCTTATATGCCTGGACTGTTTTGTTTAATCCATAGTATTCTTTTCTTTGCATATATCTTGCAAATTTTCAGCCTAGCCGGTCACCTAACGTTCGCAGCTTAAGATAAAGCTCCAAATATTTATGTCTCCTTGTGTCTTGAAACAGATCAGAAGAGCGTGAAAACCACTGGTGTCCACGATGCCAGTTCAGGCAAAGATCGTTGCAGACATGGTTGCTGCCACTGGTACCATGGACACTGCCAAAGATGCTGTCGAACTGCCAAGGAGACCCCTGAAGCCACATCTGGAGATGAGGATACCGTAACCGCAGATCGTTGCAGACATGGTTGCTGCTACTGGTACCATGGACATTGCCAAAGATGCTGTTAACCTACTGAAGCTACATCCGGAGATGAGGTCAAAAATTAATGCTAAATAAATAAGGGCGTGACACAGGATCCGTGACACCTATATTATTACCTTAATATGTTATGTTGTGTTTGCTTTTAATGGTTGATTTCCTATGTGTGTAAAAGATTTATGCGGCTTCTCTTTGAATTGGTGTAGAATCAACAGGGGAAGCATGTAATGAGTACTCAGTTCGAGTGCTCTTCTTATGTTGTTGTCATGTTGAATAAATAAATCTATGATCATCTACTGCAATTGATGATCTCTATCTCAGTTACATCATAAACTTCTGTACCTTGGACCTGCTAGAATTAGTGTGATTGATATAAGACGTGCAGAATGTTCAATATGTATATATGTGCTTCTTCATCGTGCCATGCCATTACAATGTGAAAGAATTCAGCATCGACGGAGTGAAACGTACCCAATCCTGCTCCTGAGAAAGGAAACAAAGTCCCTCAAAAATGGATATTTTTGGATGCCATCAAGATTTTGAATTGAATGCCATTTGGAGATCTGAATGTTGTTTTTTCCCCTTTATCTTCGTTCAAGATTTTTTTTGGTGGAAATGCTTCATTTATACGAATTTTCCTAGTTAGTAAAGGCTTCTATTACACTTGTACAATACACATTTAAAAGTATAAAACACAAAAGCTTGTGTAGTTCATATATTTCAAAAATATTCATACTTTTCAACGAAACTAAAAAAATACGTAATAATTCTTGATACATTATACTTTACGAACTATACTTTAAATTTTAAAAATATTTAATACTATCACTTATTAATAACTCCACATGTTAATTTGTCTCCCAATTCAATAAATTATAGTAGCTAACTCAAAGCTAACCGACACCAAAATTCCCTTACTTGTTCACCTCCTAGTGGATTATTTAATTACATTGCATTTATTTCGTAAGCATGAGTTTGTAACCCCTCATATTAAATCTCAATGATTGATTTTAACGGTTACCAAGGCGTCTAGTAATTGTTGCTATTAATTTGAACTAGACATTTATTAGTCTAGTAGAATTTATTCCTTCTTATCACTTAGTTCATAAACCTTACGAATCGTTAAAACCAGCTCTAACATTACCTAACAAGACTTCTACAATTTCGTGGTTTTGCTTAGAAATCAGTCTGATAGTTTAACTTGCTTCGTCCAACTTTATGAGTTGCTTTTTTTTTTTTTTTTTTCATATTTGACATTTCATCTGACTTTAATATGGGACCAAGTTAGTATTGTTGACATTTCATATCTAAGACTTCTTAATTAATTGATTTGTTATAAGAACTATAACGTATGCGTGTTTTGTAAGCTTTCATGTTTTTTTTTTAATTCTTGTGGACCAGCAACGGATAGTTTCTTCTAGTACCAGGCTTCCTTTGAAGTTATTATTTTTTTTTTTTGCGTGTCCAAATGTAAATTAAAAGAATTGAACATCAACTTTGAACAAGTCTATATCTAGTAAAGATAGATATAAGAGGGATACTATATCACTGCAACGAAAAAGGGTTTTGGCGAGGAGCAAAAGTCCACGCCAAAAGTTTTGACTTCCTTGCTAATTAATTTCAGCGAGAAAAATGCTTCCTCGCCAAATTTCTTGCTAGATGCTCGTCACTAAAAGTTATTAGCGAGGATGCTGCTGCTTTTCTCGCTAATGAAACAGATCAATAGCAAGGGTTGACCTCCTCGCTAATAGCTCAAATACTATGGCGCGAGAAAAGCTTTCCTCACCAACTAAAGTTAAAAACTCCCCACAAAAACCAGTAGTTTCTTGCAAATAGTCAAGGTGTTTTGCTAGGAAAAATAGCGCATCCTCACCAATAGTATAGAATTAGCAAGGACGCGTACCAGTAAAACATTTTTGGCCAGAAAAGTATCCTCTCTAATAAGCGATAATTGATTATTGCCTAACTGTTTGGTGGGAAAATGTTCCTCTCCAATGCTGTTATGAACATTTCTTAATCCCATTTTAGCATGCTAATCTTAATTCTCTGAGCAAATTACTGGGTGGTTTTATTAGAAAATTTAGCTGCAAATAGCTTCAATTTGGCTTCTCATGTGTCTGTTGTACATTTTCCAGGTTCTTATAAGTATCAAATTGTTTGGCAAATTTTTTTTTTAATGAATCATGACCAACGTAGCTGCTCATTAAATTTAAACTCATAAGTCCTGGTATTTGATAGGTTTTTGGAATATCACTTGGTGCCAACAACCCCTTTTGCTACTTTGATAAACATTCAATAGAAAACATACAAAAGCTTTGGTTAGCTAAAAATAATTGCTAGCACAATAATACATCAACATCCAGCTCTTTCAACATCTTGAGCCATACAATAGGAAGTGCTTGAACTCAATTGGCAATCCAAATTTTTTTTAGCTCATTAACCATCTAGAAATCGCAACTTCAATAAGTCATTACAGAAGAAGATTTCATTGAGAGAACACCACAAAAAGGAGAAGCAGAAAAAAAAATAAAACAGAGAGAGAGAGAGAGAAGAGTTAAACTGTCATATGGACGCATATTTGTCACCTCAGTATTTCCGATTCCTTAATTCAGTCCAGTTATCTTGGAACTCTATCGGCAATCCATGGAACATTTTTTGAATGACAATATGCTGTTTCAACCTTTTGATGAAGACTTCAAAGGTTCTGTGATAGGTTGCATTTTTGTCATTAATTCTATGATTATTTTCCTCGTTTATATAATCAAATATTGTATTAATTGATTGATTCTACTTATATTTGGTACTTTGTGTCAATTGTAGGAAGGTGAGCAAAAAGTAATAAAAGAGATGATTTTTCAAGAGTTTTCCAATTCAAGATGGAGTTTAGGTGGAGTATTGGATGAAAATTAGGAAACTACAACTTTTCATTAGATGTCTTATTAGGGAACAATTAGCATTAGTTGGAGAAGTTTCCTTTTGCAATTAGAATTCTATTTTTAGTTGGCCAATGGACGGCCAAGTAGTAGACTTCAATTAGGAAATAAAGAGAGAAAAAAGGCCGGAATCCCGGTGATCACTACCTTGAGAGAACAAGAAAAAGGAGACGGCCACTGGTCTCTTCTTTAGCGAGTCTTTAGGGAAAAACGAATGGTTATCGATGGAGTCCTGCGGATCTCCCCTGAGATGTGAAGCTAAATTTCCGTTTTCTAATCGAATGTCAATTTGAGGACTCGGTTCCAAACATCTGTGAGATCGAATTATTTTACTTATTTCTTTTATTCATTGGTATTTGTGTTTTCTGATTTAACTTCTTATGCTTGTTATGTTATTTGAATGTCAAGGACCGATATTCGAATTAACCCAATAATCTACAGCCAGATTAATTGATTGAATCCGTAATTGTTCAATTGGTTTCATGTTAGGGAAAAGTATGATTTAACTTAAATGAACCATCGTAGCATGTTTCTTAGTTAGGATTGGCTTTCTAATTCTTATTGCAATCGAGAAATTAAATCTATAGTCGTACCTAGGGTTATTTCTTGTTAGAAAAATAGTTAATGGTCGTACCTGACTATCGAAAAAGTAAGGAAAGGTTTGGTTGTTTATCGCATGTATGACAACTATAACCAATCTATTAATTAGTAATTGAATTATCTTTGCATCGATGATTAATTGAATGGACCGTGTTGAAAAGTTGCACTTTGGCTAGAGTTATATTAGTTATTGATTAATTGCTGTTTATTTCTATTGTTGTTTCATTCGTTGGTTAATTAGTTATTTTATATTTTCCAAAACCCCCCATACTTCGGACTCTGGAAGAAATGAATTATCCCCAATTCCTATGGATGTGACCCTGCTCACCGCTATATACAAATTTGTATTTTTCTTGAGTAGGTAATTATTATTATAGGTTCGACACCTGTCATTCTATAACTGTATACAGAGTCATCTTTTTCAAAGATTTCCCATGCTGCAAAATGTACTCTACGAGCTTTATTTCATCTTCGTCCCCTATAAATTTGCTGATTCCAATCTGCCTAAGATGTTCAACAAAGCGTATTGGGAAAACTGTTTGGAAAAGTAGATTCCAAGTCCTTGTATATGCAAAGTCCTCCTTACACAACTTTACATATTGAGAAGATCAAAAATTGCAGAACATAATAATACTTGAAATTAGTGAGAATATATCCAAAAGAAACAAAATATTAATACCTGAAATCAGGTTTTACAATCAGTGCACAAAAAGCACCTAAACCCAAATGGCCCATGTTGGAATAGACCAAGTTTAGTTCAACTGCAGAAATTCCTAGTACAATGGAACTGCAACTTCAACTTCAGTAAATTGCAAGCTGGTATTATGATTCTATGAATCCTGAAATCTCCCCCAAGTCCTCTTGCCTCCAACACTAAGTATGTACACAGACGCTGACCTGTTCTATACACTTGTAGGAAAATTCAGATCAGACGGCATTCAATAGAACTGCCTTGATTTGGCTCCATATCAGCACTACTGCTCTTTAAATCTAACTTGATTAAGCTGCACAAAAGGGAAGATTACATTAGATGGAGAAATTTTACTGATTGCATATGAAATAGGGGCTAAAACCAACTAGGAAAAGCAGAGAAGTTAACCTCAACCGACCAGGAAACAAGATGCAAAAGTCAGAGGTGTTAGCTTAAACCTCACCAAACGAAAAATAAATCTTTGATATTAAACACATAACCCACATAAGTTAGCTTCACAGGGTCCAGAAGGATGGTTGGAACTCAATTTTCCTAAAATTGTGAGGAAAATAATGCAATCTTAGAAATCTAACACAATAATGGTAATAAAAACACACAAAAGGGTATGAAGACTTACAAAATGGCACCAAAATATAGATCTAACAGTATTTGAAGCAAATGGATGAAGCATTGAAGTTGTTCTAAGATTTTTTGACAGCAATAAAACCTAAGCTCCTTCACGTTTAGCAATTCATAGGAGATAGATAGGAGGCGGGTCTTCTTTTTTAGCAATTCCTCAGAGGTCTCCTTCCCGTTTAGCAATTCCTGCATCTGTTCTTTATTTTTGGACTAAAAACACCAATGTTGGCCTTTGAGAGAAGAACAGATGCGTGCTTCTCAATTGACAGAGACAAGAGAGGACCAGCCTTTCTATGTATATATCCCTCAGCCTCTAACAAGTTTGAATTTTGACGGAAGGACGTTGTGGGAAAAATAAAATTCTTGGAGGGGATAAAACACGCGTCCTAAATTCTGATTTAAGTGTTGTAGTTAAAAGTTTCTAAGAATTGGAGTATATTATATAATATATA